AGAGTTTTTTTTCTTGGGTTTTTTTTTTTTTTTTTTTTTTAGTTTGAGAGTATGTGCTCTTTTTATCCATTAGTTTCTTTCTTTATGACAAGGAGCTGTGGATGGTTTGTTTTAGCATTTTCAAGTTCAATCCTAGATAGAAAAACCAATGTTGAAATTGGCAACGGATTTAGAAGAATCCTTTTGAATCATATGTGCTTTGTCACTTTTAAATGTGTTAGTTCCTAGTAAAAGAAATGAAGCGTGATTTATCCTCACCGCCGGAATTCCAGACCAGGCTCGGACGTTCAAAATCATGTTCAAAATTAACAAAGTTGTCTCAAAACAACGATGTCTTCCTGACCCTGTTTATCTTAGGGGTATTTAATTTTTAAGAATGATATTCTTTCTTGACTTTATAGCAGGTTAAGTGGCTTTATATATGAACACTTCCATTCTTTTTCAGCACAGTATTTCAAAGTTTATAGTAAGCCGAGTTTTTAAACTTTCAATTTTTGTATGCTTAAGCTTTTTATGACCACGGTGGAGAAAGAAAATATAAACATTTGTGTCCAATTTTCTGCCTGCATATTATCATTAGTATAAATTGCTGCATCATTTCCATTCAGAATTGTAATTTTGATCAGAAGCTCAAATATATAGATACATGCTTATATTAGCACTTTTTGAGGACGAAAATGAAAATGACTAGAATGGTGGAAAGATACAGGAAAATGATAGCATCTTTTTATGAAACAGGAATGTAGGTGGTCTAATTCGCTTCACTGTGGATGCACTGATAAAAAGGAGTTGCTATTCATGAAATAATAGACCTTTTGTATCCATTTCATCTTTATTATTTCAATTATCTAAATGCACATGGTAAATGACACTGCTTCATGGGCGTGGTGCGGGCAGGAGTTCAAAGGCCACATCAGCCAGAGCCCTGGTGACTGAAATGGAAGAGCCCCCCACCCCTCGCCCTACCACGCATTTCCTCTATACTAAGTTCACTTCATCCAGCAACTTCATAACTTTTATGGGAGAAATTAGAAGGCTCAATTACCATCATTATGTTCCCTCCTTTGGCACTCACTTTAAAGCATGGCCAGCTTAGGGACTGGCTAGATGGACGGAATAGAATTCGGTGCTAACAAGGAGCTGCTGTTGAAGGCGAAGAGAGTTTCCATGAAAAGCCTAAGTCACAATCGCTTTAAGCGTTAAGAAGTAGAATCGGTTTATTTCAGGGTGGAGTGAGATGGGAAGGCTCTACGGAAGACTTTCGTTGCAAATGTAGGGCCCTGAGTCCCCATCCCAGCTCCGCTGCAGGTTGGGGCTGGTCATTCTTCTCTCTGGGACTCGGGGGATGGGGTTTGGCTAGTTGGTTAGTTATGTTTCTAGCTCAGGAAGGCTGTGTCAGCAGGAGTTGTGTTCCATGATGGGGCAGTATAACCAATGCAGCCTCAGATTTTATTTCCTCTCCAATTTTACCTAACCTCTGAGGACTTCATGGGGGTTCTACGTGTTAAGTGTTAGTCCTGTTGGCACTAGGAGGAGCCAAAGTCACGTGTGGACCGCTTATGGGGCAGTCAGGTACTGGCTTTCTCCTAACTTGGACTTCTTGCCCTTTGAGCCTAGTATGTCTTCAGAAGGCGGGCTCTGGGATATAGAGTCCGTTGGTCAGAGTCCATTACACTCAACTCATTATAAACAACCTGAAGCAACTGAACCATCACTAGCCATCATCTCCCTTCACGAGGTAGCGTGGCAGAGTATTGGCATAAACTTGTACCAACATCGTTCAATTGCCTTTCATAATAGATATTTAATTCTGCTGGAAGAAATTTTTAAAACTAATAATTATTAATGCACTTTACTAACCAGACTGTTTAGATGTTAAACTTCCTAATTATCTATTCGAAAAATTTTTTGCCTTCAGGGTTTTTCTTCGTTTTATTTGTAGAGTTTTGACTTAAATTGTTTTGACTGTATCTTATATTAACTGAGGTTTTTAAGATCTAATTTGAACACCCATCCTCTGCCTGGGCCCTGTACACAGCTCTGACAGGGAGGTCTTCCATCTGTTTGAAAATCTCTAGTGAGTGAACAGACTCACTCCCTAGAAGGTGTCCTGTTTTTTTTTTTTTTAAATGACTTTATTTTTTAGAGCAGTTTAGGTTCACAGCAAAATCGAGAGGAAGGTACAGAGATCCATGCCCCCATACCTGCTGTCATATACCCCATGTATTATGTACCCACTAATACATAGCCTAACTCTTCATCAACACCTCCCCATCAGAGCAGTACATGTTTTACATTATCGATCACTCTACATGGACACATCCTAATTACCACAAGGCTATAGTTTACATTAGGGCTCACCCTTAGTCTTATATATTCTGTGAGTTTGGACAGATATGTAATGACACATGAATCCACCAGTGTAGTATCATATAGAGTATTTTCACTGCCCTAAAAATCCTTTGTTCTCTGCCTGTTCATCCCTCCCTACTGCCCCTACCCACTCACCCCCAACCCCTGGCAACTATTAACCTTTTCACTGTCAAATTTGCCTTTTCCAGAAGGTCATAGAGTTGGCACCATACCACTATATGTGGCCTTTTCATATTGTCTTCCTTCATTTACCAATATGCACGTAAGTTTCCACCATGTCTTTTCATGGCTTCATAGCTCTTTACTTTTTAGTGCTGAATAATATTCCATTGTCTGGATGTACCAGAGTTTATTTCTCCATCATCTATTGAAGGACATCTTGGTTGCTTCCAACTTTTGGCAATTATAAATAAAGCTGCTCTAAATACCCACATGCAGGTAGCTGGAAGAATTTAAATTTGAATTTTGGCACTTTTATCCTAGACTTTTTTTAATAATTATTTTTTCCTATTATTTTAAATCATAAAGCCATAAACCATAAGTCTGAAATCTTGCTAAAAATGTTTGGCATTTCAAGCTTGTTTTTCTCAATAAAGTTATGAGATATTTTTTGCCAAAACAGACACTGAGGTTTGCTGTGAAAGCTGTTAAAATATAATTGAAGCCTGTCGTATTTTTGAGTCATTTGAAATTTTTCGCATTTTTCCCAAATGGTCTGGTTTCAAATTTAGTCAGCTTTGAAAACTGATCACCATCACCCATGTGCTCTTGCAAAATACATTTGAAAGAAGTAGTATCCTACCTATCCTATACAAATAGACCGAAAAATGGAGTTAGTAATTTGATAATTTAACAGGAAAATCATTCTCTTTTAAGTGACAGTTCATTTACTCTGGTCGACCACTGGTGAGTAATAGGATGGACTATGAAGAAGCAGAGGGGAAAGTTATACCGTGAGCTTCAGCTAATGCCAGCGACAAAGATGAAACAGCGAGCTCTCAGTCCTACGTGTCATCATCTCATACTGCCACCCTTTAAAAATAGACGAGGATGACCATGTAAATAAGAACCTGTAAAAGGCAAAAGCAAGAGAATATAGGAATGTTGTATATTGATTCGGGCATAACAAATACAAAACCAGTCATTGGTGAGGAAAGAATTTTGGAATAATCTTTAGAATTCTTTTTAATATGTTTTTATAAAATTGGCAGTGGGAAACTTTTTCCTGTGGAATATGGTGTTAGAGCTATACATTTTCAAAAGAGAAGGAAGGAAATGGTCCCACTATGTAATAAAAATCAGTATTGAGATCGAAGCAACTTTTATAAATCGTACATTTTAGAAGGATATATAATATACTTTCCTGGCTAATAGGCCTAACAGTCAGATATGTAGAAATGCAGACATGGAAACTGAAAAATTTTAATCAATTACATCCTTTAGAGGCTAAATCTTTGGATTGCCTGATCTTTGATATGAGAAAGAATTTTGCCAAATTTAGTCTTTAAGATCAATAGCCCCTTGTGGGAATTTCTAGCTTTTAGCTGCCTTTTGATTCTCATAGGATTCATCTTGTACTCTTTCGGTGCTATTAAGATGCATCTACCTAAGTCACTAGAATCCATCCTTGCTTCCCTTAAAAGAATCTGCTTAACTCCTGTAATCTGAAGAATGGGTTTCACCTTTTAAGTAGGGGTCACTGCACAA